CCCCCCCCGGGTTTGATTGGTTTTTTTTGGCTGTTTTGTTTTGTTTTTTTTTTTTTTTTTTTTTTTTTTTTTTTTTTACAGATTATCTGTCTCAAATTGTCAACATTTCTGGTTGAACCATAAACATTTTAGCAAAACTGTTGTATACTGGTGAATTTCAAGTTGAAAACTACTGATGACCAAGAGCCAACAAAAAGGCTGGTCCCACAAACACAAAAATCATCTTAATAATCTCCAAAACCTGCAGGATTATATTATGTGGCATGCAAAACATTTTCTTCGATTTGTACTTGTGTATTTCTGAAACCTGCTGTAAGGATTTGCTTCTTTCTTCTTTGCAGGATTTCATTTGGTTGCTGCGGACGCTTCACCCTGGCTGAACTCTTGTCGTTCTCGCTCTCCGTGATGTTGGTCCTCATCTGGGTGTTGACCGGACACTGGCTCCTCATGGATGGTGCGTCACTCAGAGCTTTCCTCTTGTGGAAACATCAGTCGCTGTTAGAAATATTTTAGGCTTGTAGCTCCAGCGTGAGCATCAACGCACATTAATAACGTTCTACATTAGATCTTGTCGCGATTCAAAGAATTTGTCTCGGCATCGACTGACCTTAGAATATTCAAAGTATCTTTTCAGGGATTCCTTACTGTGTTAGATGTAACTTTATGCTCATTAAATAGTTTGATGAAATCTAATTTTCTATCATCACATGAAGAACCTTGGCCTGGCTCTGACTGAGGAGGTTTATTTAGTTGTCTTCAAACATTTACAGCAATGTGCTTTATTCTAAAGGGAAGGAGTGTTACTAGCCAGCTAAATGGTTTTCAGGCAACTCATTGTCTTCCTGAAATGTAAAAAAAAAAGCTACTCTGTATTTAAAAATAGTATTTAATACAGGTTGCATTTTGGGCATTTTGTTTTCAATTACATGAATGCAACCTTGGAAAAGTTAAGAGTTCTGTATTGGCAAACACGTAAAGTTTTAAATATAATTTTCTGCTCAATACGTGTCGTTTCAAGAAACATAAACTATAATTATGATAAATAAAATATAGTAAATCCGCTTTAACCTCAATACGTCTGCTCGTTTTTTCTAAAATGTGGAAATATGTTTTTAAATGCCACTTTCTTTCCCCTCGCTGCAGCTTTAGCCATGGGCTTGTGCGTCGCCATGATCGCTTTTGTTCGGCTTCCCAGTCTGAAGGTCTCCTGCCTGCTGCTGTCAGGACTGCTCATTTATGATGTGTTCTGGGTAAGAAGTCATCCCGCTATGAGCTCTACCTGCATCGCTAAAAGGAAGCACAGCCATAAAAGATGTCGACTCCAGGGGGTTTTCAGAAAATGAGAGCGATTCGGGTTTATGAAAGCCTTTGCTTGTCTTTGTGGCGGCACTTGCTGCTGCTCAGAAGGGGATGTAATCTGTGAACGCAGTCATCCTCGGTGAGTGTAAAGAATGACTAGTCGGTACTCAAGGAACAATTGCTAACTATGTAAGTTATAAGCACAGCAGGAGGTAAGCCTCAACTTTAATAATGCAGAGAAAAAGCATCAATGACACAGTAGTGGTCTAACTACAAAGGGAAACTGTTGACGCTACATTTAAAAATTAATTGCTGTTTTTTTTTTTTTTTTTTGTTTTAATTTGGTCAAATTGGCATTTATTTTTCTTCCAAGATGCTGATCTGAATCACTTCAGGTTGCTTAATACGTAATCAGTGACGTTACCAAAGTCAGTGTCATGAAAATGAAAATTGAAATGGCAGATTGTCTGTCAATTCACTCACTCCCCAGTAACGACAGCATTCAGGATTCAGAAGGAATTTCTGTCTGACCTCCTTGGTATGCTGCTCCACCACAAACAACAAAAACTACGGCACAGTGAAGCTCCACCCGTTTGCTCTTCATTTTTTTATAGATTCACCTGTTAGCGGAGAATTACCAGAGACAAATTCGCCTGTTTGTTGAGGGTTTTCGTTTTTAAATCTTCAAAAACACAAAATTCATCTTGGCAAGCTGAAATACTTTGACGCAGTGCTACGTGACATGATATTGCCTGGTGTTTGAAAAGCAGCCAATCCAAGAGCACCATTGGTTTTTCTTGGCACTGATTGGCTGTAGAGTGGAGATGAGGAAGATGACTCTAAATCGTTGCTGGTTACATTGTTTGCTAACTACATTAGGTCCAAAACAACATTGTGTGCTACACGTTATGCAGAGGATCATGCACTGTTTGTTGTTTTTTATATTTTATTGATAAGAAAATGCTGCAGATATGAATAATTTTTGTTTGTTTTAACAAGGACTGGGATTGCATGACATCGTAAAAAAAAAAAAAAAAACACCCATGTTTTCAGCCTTTACTTTTTTTTTTGATTGACTTATCTGTTAATTGATCTGAACTGTTTATTCTAGAATAATTAATGTAATAATACATGCGGCATGCTCAAACTGACTTTATTTTTCATTTGAAGGTGTGCAATTAAAGCATCAAAGACCCTGTGTGTCTAAAACACGGAAGCTGTTATTACTCAGTTCCCCGCCCCACAGAAGGGATTAAAACTAAAACTCAGTCTTTAGGAGTAAATGTGTGTCTAGAAACTCATTTCTCTCAAGGAGTAATTGTTGTTTTGCACTAATTTCTCCGTAGATCTGAGCCAGCTGAGTTTTTCCAACACAAGATCTTTTACATTTACCGTTTACCCAACTGCTCTAAGCTAACTAGCTTCTCAAAAAAATATGTTTTTGCTCATCATGCAATGAAAAGGCTGAATGAAAATCATTTTTGATGGCTTTTCTCTCTCCTTCTCTCCTGCTAAAGGTGTTCTTCTCAGCGTACATCTTCAACAGTAATGTGATGGTCAAAGTCGCCACTCAGCCTGCTGAAAATCCCATAGATGTTCTCTCCAGGAAGCTACACCTAGGGCCCGGGATGGGCCGCGACGTTCCCAGACTTTCATTACCTGGCAAACTGGTGTTCCCAAGGTAACACGCACATTACAGTGGTGCTGGAAAGTTTGGGAATTTTTACCAGAATTTTATATATTTCAGACAAAAACGTCACCAGGTTTTCACGGAAATCTTAAAAGTAGATGAAGGCGAACCAAATTAACAAATGAAATAAGGGATTATTTAAATTAATACTTTGCCTCCATCTACGTTTTTGGAGTTTCAGTGCAACTCTTCTGATGTTTGTAATTATTTGATGTATATCAATAATTCTGAAGGGTTGACAAACTTTCCAGCACCACTGTAATCACAGGGGGTAATAAGGGAGGGATTTGTTGAATTTCACTCATGATGTGTCACAAAGTTCAACCTTTGCTGGTGATTTGTAGCTAAATACTCTCGGAACAAATACCTTCATGCAGTTCTTCCCAGAGCAGCCTCTGCTAGAAATGCACTTCCTGGTACAGAGGAAAACCGTCTAAGGGTATTTATAGGCTGGAGAAATCTTCGAGGCAGTATTGTCTGGAAGTGATCAGATCACGTTTGCGTGCAGGAACATCAGCACCTTGTCTAAGTGTCGGTAGTGATGTAGCTGCTCTCGTGACGGGGTTGTCCAGCGCTCAAACCGTCCCTCATCAAAGCCTTAGATGCACAATGCACCGAGTCCTCTCCCCAGATGGAGATGCCGATTAGATGTGGCAGAGGTCACCATCTTAACATGCAGAGCTGAAAACAACCCGACACCTTTTCAGATTTTTACTTCCATCGCTTCAGTTTCAAATCAACTTTTCAGACCATCTTTGGTTTTCACTAAAGAAGAGAGTGAAATGCAAATGAATGTATAGATACCAATCACAACACCATAGTTTGTTTCTGCTTTTCGCTGATATTCAATTAAATTCAGAAATACTTTATCATCCAGGAGATGCTAACAGCTCCTTATCTGGGCAACAGAGGTAATATCTCACAGTAAAATGTCCTGGATGAGATCATCGGATGTTAGCAGGCACTGCTAATCCCCCTCATTTGCTTTTGCTGCTCCTCTGTAAATCTCTGTCTGCTGTGTGTGGTTAGAAAGCCGGGCAGAGAGACGTTGGAGTCAGAGGAATGATCCTCTCCCATTATGATCGATGGAAGAGATGATCTGAACTTCATTCTCCTCTCTTTGCTCTTTGGTCCTGCTTTCTCATAAAGACATAAAATTGTTTTGTTGTTAAATTTGTCCTTGATAAACTAGAGCTAAGAAAATATCTACACTTGGATGAATAGGAATAGTAAAACTGTTTTAAAAAATCTAGACTAAAAAACCTTTTATTCAAAATTCCTACAGTTTTTTGAAAATGTCAAAAGTTTGAGAAAGTCTGACAACTTTGAAAGAATTTGAGACATACTATTGATAAATTAGATTTTTGTTATTCTAACATAGTAAATGTAATAATGTAATGCATAACATGCCAACAGGCTTATGAAGTTTGTAATGATTTGTGATAACAGTGCCCTGAAAAAACTGTTAGCTATTAAGCAATTATTTGTGGAACCTATAAGGCTTTATTTTATACATCTTCAGGTACTGCAAAGCAGTCTGTACAGAAACATCTCGGTTTCAGAAAGAGATGATGAAGCAGTGACGTGTAGATTAGCGTAATCTCCACTGCCGAGTCGCAGTTATTCTCCGATTTGTCCGTTCTAGAGTTTCACCTTCGCTTCCGCTCTTTGCCTCCATGCAGCTCCACAGGAAGCCACTTCTCCATGTTGGGAATCGGAGACATCGTGATGCCGGGGCTGCTGCTGTGCTTCGTCCTGCGCTACGACAACTACAAGAAGCAAGCAACGGGGGAGGTCCCGGGGCCCGGCAACATGTCCGGACGCATGCAGCGCGTCTCCTATTTCCACTGCACCCTCATCGGATACTTTGTGGGTAAGCAGCCGATCAATGCACAGACGGATGGGAGAGGTCAAGTTTTTCTAAGATCTTCTCATAAGTTCGGCATTCTCCTCGCAGGACTGGTTTGCTCTGTTTTGTTTCCTTCTTTTTGAACATGTTTTCTCCTCAGGCCTGCTGACTGCCACTGTGGCCTCGAGGATCCATCGTGCTGCTCAGCCCGCTCTGCTCTACTTGGTTCCCTTCACCCTGCTGCCTCTGCTCACTATGGCTTACCTGAAGGTATTACAGCCCCATTTGTTCCCTACAGAAAAGTGTCGGCCACATTCATCTAGATTTTGTTTGACAAAAATAAAAATCTCTTGCAATCTGATGACAAATCTTCTTGCATAATGTCAAAACTAAATTTACATAAAACTTGCAGTTTTAACTGACCTTGCAAATATTTTGGTACCTCATAAATCACATCACAGCGACAAATTTAAATACGTTTTACTGTTGTTTTTATGTGACAAACCAAAACACAGTATCTACATAATGAATAATTGTAGTAAAAGAAAAACGATGTGTGGTTTTCAAAGCAATGTTTTCACAAATAAAAGTAATACTAATGATAATAAGAGCAATAATCACTGAAGCAATCAGAAGACCCAAGATAACTCTGGAGGAACCAACGAGATCTACAGGTGAAACGATTAATTGAATTAATTGTGATTAATCTATCCTTGAAATAATCATCAGCTTTTTTAGTAATTAGTCAATTGTTGCCTGGACTACTTTGACTCTAAAAGAGGCCATTTGCTGAAGTAACAACACAGTCAAAGCGACAATTATGCCAAAACTGTATGAAACATTTATACATTTTCATTGAAGTTTAAAACCTTCTTCTGTAAATCTGTTCTACTCAAAACTCCTCGGGTCTCTTTTTTGGTTCAAATTCTGTTAAAAAAAAGTCCTATTAGACATTTTTTGTTGCCTAATTGCAATCTAAAAAATCAATCAGCATTGTAGTAGACAGTATTTTTTAGTTGCAGATGCATCCTTTGCTACAAATGATGAAGCATACACTAAAAGAAGGCTATGTTGTTACATTTTAGGTAATAAAATTAGATTTTTTTTTATTATTATTATTATTTGCATCTTTTAATGAGTTTCTAATGTTGTGTAAAAGAGGAGGAAGTGGTGACATAAAAACCCTGCAGAATGTAACAAATTTTTATCCGATTAATCAATCGGTCATCAGAATAATCAGGCTCTTTTTCAGCAACTACATGGAAGCTTGTCACAGGTGATTGAGATAAATAAGATCAAACTGAGATGAAAATACATCAACAGCTGCAAAACAACTCGAGTTGGGCTCATCTCACACCAGGAAAACAACCGTAAACAGCAGAGTGTTGGTTTAGAGTCCATTTGATGACCTGCAGCTTTGCCCCAGCACACCTGGTTCAGCTGGTTGCTTTACCTCACAAGGAGGCCATCAATTTCTGCAGAAGTCGCCCATTCATGCAGCTGGGAAACACCTGGAACGTGCCGGACACTAGGATTGAGAACCAGTGGTTACACTTTCAAACGTCAATTACCCTCAAACCAAGATTTGAGAATTATTTCTCACATTTGCTCTCTATCCCACCTGACTGAGCTTGAACTCTTTTGCAAAAACAAATGAGCAACAAACTCAGTCTCTACATGCAAAGCCCCGGAGAATGATGCTCCCACAGTCTGGCGACTATAATTGCACTGAAAACCACGTAAGGGACTGGCTATAAAAACACACCGCACATTTCAGATTTTATGTGTATTCATAAAAAGAAAAACTTTCTCCTTTTCAATTCATTTCACCACTTTGTGTTGGCCTGTCACATAAAATCCCTACAACTTACACCGATTCTGAAAAGTCGTAGTAGTTTTTGACTCCAGACTGATGTGTGCGTGTGTGTGTGTGTGTGT